AGAGAGAGACAGAGACAGAGAGGGTGGGTAGGTGGGTGGGGGGTGAGAGAGAGTCCTAGTCCTAGTGGATGTGGCTATGCTACAATAATGTGCACGTCGGGAAATATTAGCACTTAACTCGTATTTTCTGCTTGGAAATGCTCGGGGAGTGAGGGGCGGAGGAGGAGGAGCAGGAAGGTGAGGTGGAGGAGGAGGAAGAAGGGGGGCTTCTTCAGGAGTAACAAGAAGTTGAGTCGGGAAGTTTCCAGCAGCAGAGACGGGGTTTTCTCCCTCACACAGCGGGGAGGGTTGCGGGTCCAACATGGGGAACGGGGTGTGCTCCCGGAGGCAGCGGAGGATCTTCCAGTGTCTCCTGCTGGTCACCGTGGTCTGCGGGATGATGTACGGCGGGATGATATCGTATGAGATGCACAAACAGCTCAAGAGGACGGAGGCGATGGCACTGAAGTACCAGCAGCACCAGGAGTCGCTCTCGGCACAGCTCCAAGGTAAACACGGTGACCGGGGGATGTGATTGAATGTTGACAGAGGCGAGCGTGAGAACTCTACATTGGGTGTAGCGGCAGTCACGCCAGACTCCGCTAAGAAAAGTGCTGTTTTGTTGTTGTCGTGCTTGCTGTCAAACGCTTGCGCCCTTTTTTTTTTTTTAACAGGTTTTAATGCTTAATACGATTCAGAACGAGCCGTAGTTCAGTTCGGCTGCGTTCGTTTTCTCTTGTCGTCTTTGCCAAATGCTCAGTGGGTGGTGGTATTGGAAACTGCACAGAAATAAGCGCTTATTTTGGGTGTGTGTCAAATGCAAAAATACAACTCCAGCTATGTCTGTCTGCTGTCTGACCTGACTGGACCGATTTACCAAGAGCCCGTCTTTGACCTTTGACCTTTGACCTCAGGTGGTCTTCTAATCTTGTGTTAAACAGGTTGTAGTCTGAGCAGATTGGGCTTTAAAGTTCAACAGAGAGTTCATTTGTTAGGACAGGTCTGCCTTTTACCTGTAGGCCTAGGAAAATAGATACCCAGAAATTAGGTTTACTGCTGACTAGAGGCTGTTGCACGCACACATAAACGCACACCTGGTTATAGTCACTGAGTCCCCAGGCTCACCTCAACAGTATATAGAGGAGTATATCTTTTAAAGTCATGAAGTCAGCCAGAACATCTGCTTGTGTCGGCCACAGCTGGAGGAACAGACGAGGAAAAGAGGGCACAGTCACCTTGGTTTCAAGCAAGGAGTTTCCAAAGCACACTGTTGCGTACAGTGTTAACTTGTTTTTATGGGTTGGCCAGGCGGTTGCGTCACCACTCTAATATTGTGTGTTGTGTGCTGCCATTGCTCTGCAGAAGACAATATAGTTCGCAGCACTTTTGATTTTGATGTGTCCATGTCGTATTGCGTCTGTTCTAGTGTAAAAAATAAGCACTTGGTGTGTTTTGCGAATGTTTTAGTCCAATATTTGCAGACATTCCTGATGTAAACAAACCTATTTTTGCAGCACGACACATTAATAACATTGGTTATTTAGTTATGTATCAAAACAAATCTCAGTCACTGGCCTGTTTCTCATTCCTTGTTTTTGACGTGAGCATAAAATCTAAAGTATGAAAAATAAGCCGTTATTTGTTTTTTTTTGTGTGTGTTTTGGATTCATAAATGAATAACAACATAGCAAATTGTTTTGATTTTTGATTCTAAATTGAATATGAAAAGAATGAACGATTCCAGTCCAGTGTTTTGGATTTTGATTTGGATCAGAGATTGTTCTTTTCCAGCGTCCCTGGCTACACTTCAGCATATTATGTCAACAGTTATTTAGTCACAGTCACAAAACATTATGACCGGCAATAAAAAACTGCAGCATTCACACTTCACAATTCACACGAATCAATTTGCTTTATTGCCGGCCGTGTTTGGAAAATAGTGACACACATTAGTAGACCTACACTGTGTCTCTGTATTACCAGCACAATGCTTTCATTAAAAACCTAACTTTAGTAACTTGCGTGCTCCACCTCTACGAAAGATGAAATAGTCTTGTCCTACAGTGACCTTACTGCTGTACTCCCTCCTTACCAGCGCACTTAAACACACACTGCCGCGCTGACAGGATGTGAGGTTTTGTGTCATGCCATTATGCCATGAATTTGAAATGACCAGCTGGGCGGAGAGCCCGCTCCTCCGTGGCTTCATCTGTTCAGAACAAGGTTTGTGCCCACATCAGGGAGTCACATAGTGTTTCAGACTCTGGACCTGTTCATTTAACGCAGCCTTTGATCCACCTAACCCGCAGTTATCTCTATCGTCCACAGCTTGGTCCTGCAGACCTACCAGGGAGTTCCCCTTAAAGTCCCACCCATCACGTTTGTAACAGTATCCGCACACACACGACGTGACAAATAAAAACATAAATAAATATAACAGTGAATCTGATCTGATAGTCGTTTTTTTGTAGTGGTTAGGGCTTTCAAGTGGGCAGCCTTACAAGAGGAAATGTGTCAATTGTATCTCCATGGCATTAAGTTACTTTCATACTGTGTCCATTTCTAAGACAAAGGTAGTTGGGTGAGGGTGGACAGCTGTCCCGCATTCAACAGGAGTGAAGCAAACTGCTTCAAGTAAGGCAGTGTTCAAACCCCGCCTCAATCGAATGCCTGTTTTCCTCAAGCCAAGGAGCTTCTTTTAGTCATTTTCAGGTCTGCGTTACACAGATGGCTCCTATTTCACGTGTCTCAAAGCTGATGTATCGAGCAACAGACAACATGACCGTATAATGTGACAGTTTGAATGAAATGGGTATTTGCTTAACTCCGTCTGCATCTCACCACACCCGCACTTTTATTGTGAGCCGATGGATCTTTTAGCCAATTATAAGGCCCGGGCCACTTGATATCCATGGCTGACTGTTGATTGCGGTTTTTGGTGTCCTATATTTAGAGGTGGGGCCATAGCTTGGGGGCTGTTAGCCAGCCATATTGATTCACTGTTGCCCACTCTAACCGCAGGCTGGCAGTTGTCAGTCATTTAGAAGGATCAACTGGCACTTTGTGGTTATGCTTGTACTCTGACAAATGTGTCTCTGTGATTTAACACCCATCCGCTCACACACTCACAGACTCAGCATTGTTTATATGTCATCTGGAAAACAGTAATCAAATGTAATAATTGCAGCCGTCTCTAAATGAGTGTTGCAATATTTTTTTATATCGCCCACACTGTTGTCGCACACTGTTCATTGTAATGAGCGCTGTTGTCTCGACAGATGGAACGGTTTGTTTTTATCCAGGAGAAAAAAAGGAATGCATGCTTTTTGTTCTTTGACTTAGACGTGTACTTTCTCCCTGGATTTACCACGTTTGATTTGTTTTTGGTTGTTTTTTTCAGAATACTTAAATGAATCAGATTTTGTCTGGCAAAGTCCCTTCCAAAGGTCCAGTGTGTAACATTTAGGAGGATCTATAGGATTCATAAGAATGTTTTCATTAGGTAGACACCTGAAAATACAAATCGTGCATTTGTTACCTTTGAATGAGCCGGTTTAATCTACAGAGGGAGCGGGTCCCCTTCCACAGAGGCCGCCATGTTGAACCGCCATTTTCTACAGTAGCTCAGAACGGACAAACCAAACACTGGCTCTAGATAGAGTCTTTCACAGCCACCCTAGTTTCTCCTACATGCTTGGAGGGCTGAGCTGTATTCAAATGTTTGCAATCTGCAACTTCACCACTAGATGCCACTGAATCCTACACACTGGTCCTTTAATTTATGTACGTACTTTTACTGATGTAT